CTCAGCCCACCAGGGGGCGGGGCTGGCTGGCATGTGGTGCTGGGGTATTGAACCACGGTCCCTGTGCTTTGCTAAGCTTGTTCTAAGTAGGCGCTTTAGACCACTGAGCCATCTCACCAGCCCCTGGCAGGGCCAGTTTTAAATAACCTCAAAATGACCCCACCTATAGCAAATGACAGAGCTACAGGGGAAAAAGAGCCCTAGTACATTTACTGCAATACATTTGAGAGATGTAAAAGTGACAGTGCCATGTGTCCCAGGCCAGTGATCTTTAGGTCCAACACCTTAGACAGTTGTTAGGTGCATTGAGTCTCCAATTCCCCATCTACAGTTATAATGATTGTACACTTTACTCCCTGCATAGGGGAAAGGTAAAAAATGCCTGTGCGAATCCACTATTTGAACTGTAAAATTTCCTGTAGACAGCACAGTGATAGGATTGCTGTACCTCCTTTGATTTCTGTATCTTCAAATACTCATTTCAATGCAAATGCTTCAAATATTCATTTTTCTGGGGCCAGTTTGGAGTAGAAATAATGAAGCTGTAGGTGTGGAGACCCATTGTATTCCACAAAGCTACCAGATAGCCAGCTATAAAAATGCAAACCCAACAAAACTCTACCTGCAGAATAAAAAGGCATTGCAATGGTGTGGGCTGGGTGTGAAGAGACATTTGCTCAAGTGCTTCTGGCTGAAAAAGCTGTGGAGCACAGTTTCGCTTGGCATTTAAGCTCTAGGGTATTTGGAAACAAATGAGAAAAAGTTGCTTCAGTTGCTCTGGTTGTGCAGGAAAAAAACAGATTATGAGAAAGGCGAAGGCATCCTACCTCTGGAGTTGGGCACAGGAGGGCTGAGAGTACACTGCGATGGCCTTTTGCCATCCAGAGTGCTTTGCTAGTGCCTGCTGGACCCTGAGAAGAGGCTGCAGTGGGCACCGGCAGGGTCTGCTCGCCAGAGCCACCTGCTCCACATCTACCTGGGGCTTCAGGGAGAACATAAAGTAGAAGAGGAAGGAAGGGAAAAGATGGGGAACAAAGAAACCTCTTATGAGAAAGGCCCTTTAAGTGTTTACTATCAATGGCATGACAGAAAATTACAAGTAAACACAAAGAGCAGAAAATACAAAGAATTCCTTACTTAGGAATTCAGATTAGGAAAGTTGCACTGGAGCAACTCCAAACTATACCAGTGAAAAATTTCAGTGTAACAGACCTCTCTATTAAGTAATGGTTTTCCAGAGGAATTGTAAAAAAAAAAAAAAAAATCTCCTTATTTTTACAACATGGTTACTACATTCATGCAGAGATTTATTTAATTCTGCCAAATTTTAATTCTTGCTTCAAAAGCGTTATCTATAAATCTTTGTTAGGTAAAACTCCACAAATCCTCAATATATTAGCTGGGGTTGTTAAAGGAAATAGCTGAAATGCTTTGTATAGGTTTTTTTTTGTTTTTTTTTTATTTTATTTATTTATTTATTTATTT